AAAATATCAAGACGTACCTCGCCGATCTAGAATAAAAAGATTTATTTTATGAAATATATACTTTTTCGAACAGTTTTTTTTCTCAAAGATACAACAATGGATTATCAGTGTATGAAACATAAGATTTTTGTATAGAATCGACATATATTTTAGAAAAGAAATATATAGAGCTTGACAATTGTGTGTTACTTGTCAACTAATTAATTACCGCACTGAGGTACTGTTTTCTCGTCTGGTGCAATATTCTGCTAGCTCGATGTATCGAATGCGTGTCCTCATAATTAATTCAACGATAAATGTTAGTAATAGGTTTCAAATATGCTTTTTCATAACAATAATATATCATGCAATGTTTATACGATATACAAATATTTTGGATACTATTTCTATTAACAAAATCATTGTCTGTCTTTTTAATAACACATTCTCCCCAGCACTGTTTCATTTGCAGGGAGACATTTTATTGTTTTTATACAAATGCAGATTGAGTCTACTTTCGTTGCAAACCCGAAAATATTTCGTGTTGGTTATTAATATTACGATTCTTATATAACAGAATTTACTTTGTAAAACTACGTCATAATTTTTTCGAATCATATATACGCTAATATTAATCATTTCCATTATGCTTTGAATTTTAAATGTTAGTTAACTCAGTCTGCGCGTGCAAGAACTCTCAAATGCTTGTCGAACAGCACTATAATTCATTATACTTGAAGGAATTCTGATGTCTGGCACGTGACTGTCACCTATTACTCTATTTTTACTGTACGGCAAACATGCAAATCCGAAATAGACGTGAATCTGCTTGTCTGATTAAATGCAAAACGTTTCGATTTCATTATGCAAAGTGAAACACGTAACTTGATCTTCTTGAATAACTTCTGTACTATGTAATATGTTAAATACTCTTAAGACTCATTAGATTATTACAAAATAAAATTTATTAGTAATAAATTATTACTCTGATAGTCATGCATAGCATTAGGTGCATGAATAAGTGATCCATATTCATAATTTTCAACTTTAAGTCAACTACCAAAAATAATTTAATTTCTTCTATTATTTCTACTGTTTCCGTTATAGGCATTATAAAGTCCACAATACAAAATCGGGAAGAATTATTCAAGTGATCAAATTATGCAAGTTTCTCTATACGTAGTAGAGCAAAATAAATTTTAAATTCGTTATTTGAACTGATTTTTTTATGGAATCGGGTGTTGAGCAAGCGGAATAGAATTGAAATACATTCAGTTTCTAGAGATTGTTAATTAGTCGTGTGCCGGATTAATGTTATTTTAGTCGATTGCGTGCCGTATCTGCAGCACAATTTTGCAATATCCCGGTTCTTGCAGTCCTAGTTGCAGCGAGTGTTGCGTAGGATCTCCCGTGGTGTATAATTTTAATAATCATTCAGTAATAACGGAACGGAAAAGCCGTATTTGCTTTTGGTACTCGTATCAAGGAAATGTAGTTTTATTTCGGTCAATGGTCACCTGAAATCGAATCTTTAAACATGCCAATATGTCATTTTTGTTTCACTGATTATCTGCGAATAGTGATTTTAGATTCTATCTGGATCGATATATCAGACACTTGGAGGTTGCTAATTTTAGATTAGAATAAGAGACTCGACTTTTTATTCCATCGATCGTTAATTTGTGTTTCCTCGCTATGTGTTTGATTGATTAGACGCAATTTGGATTTTTTAATATATCCAGAGAGAAATACTTCTCCAGTATATCATGTTCTTTTATTGAGTTAGAACAGACCGCGAATGTTTTAATACAGTAAATTAAAAATAATTTTAATCCTTTGCACTCAATTCTCTCCGAAGGGGCAAAATGTATGGGATTAGGAATTTCCAAGTGCAAAGGGTTAATTCTAGCTGGAAGTTTTATCGTTAATAAATAAAATTCTTGCGAAGTTGACACAAGATAAAATTAGGTGAACCAAAGAGTCGAAAGATCTATTCGTATGGAAATTGTTAAAAAAAAAGGGGTAATGATATAAAGAAGAAAATATTTGTGATAGATATGACTGCTCAGGGTTGATTTTATAAAGGGTGACCGACAAATATTTGTTCGCAGGAATAATGAAGGACCTATTTCAAATGTCTGTAATTAATGAATTTCATTTATGTATGCTCGATACAGAACTCTGTATGGATTACGGATTTTATGCAATTACAGTAAAATGCAATTAACTGAAATGCAATTTCAGTCGTTTAACATCGACGCAATATCCTTCCTTACCTAACGAAAACGAATGGGTTGCTTTTTAATTCCCGTTTTCATTAATTAAACCGTACAAACGTAAATCTGCATAAACATCCGTGCTCTAAATTATGATTTGTCATTAATGAAAAACCGCGAGTGTACGTTTCGTACGTTGCTTCTTGGCGCTTTGGCAATGTTTCAGCGGCGATCTCGCCGAGCAGCAGCTGTAATTTAGCGTTTCGTAGTTCCGCGAGGACGTGACGAGGAAGTGGATGGTATAAAAGGAAATCATTTAAAAAAAAAAAAAAAAAAAAAAAAAAAAAAAAAAAAAAAAGAAATAGACGAAAAGAAACGACACATATTTTGTATACGTTGGGAGGAGAGAGAATGTTGAGAGCGTGACCGAGAAATAGAGTGTTTTATTCGAAATACCAGAGAGCGTAAAGAATTTGGCCGTACTTCGTGCTGCAATTCACTACTTTTTTTTTAACGTAATTTCGTCTTATTCTTAACTGGAAATAACGAATTGTTTAAAATAGTATATACATACTTAAAATAGTTTCGCTTCCTTCTTTCGAACTAGAATCTACGATCTGTTTAACTCTTTGCACTCCAAGTCTTCTGAATTTAATTATTTTGAAACACGGGGTAATTGGAGGAATGATAAAATGTACACTTTTATGGAGATAACGTGTTTAAATATAAATCAAAACGAACGGAGATTTTTACGAGGCTTTCATTGAGAGGACTAAGTTTTCACAGGTGTATCATGTTCGTTGAAAAATTAAAATTGCAACGAGAATTTAATGATAATTTATAATTAGATTCTGTGAGAATAATGAGAATTGGACTACGCTACTTTATCACGCGTTGAAATCACCTGAATGGTATTTGCTTGAATACTAAATGTATTATACTTTTATCATATAAGAAGTAATTAATATCATACCATTGGTATTATCGGGGTCTGAACTTTCTAGTTGCAGTATTTCTTTCACTCATAAGTAAAGAATTCGTTAAAATTATGAGAAATGATATTTAGAGCTTGACGTTGTTAACCAAAGTAGCGTTCATACTACAACTTTACGAACCATTTAATTGTATATAAAAGTATAATATAATTAATTTATATATGATTTCCTTTCTAGTAATCGTTGAAATTTGCAGTTTTTTTTTATATCAATTCTTATATTAATTACGTCTACAGATCTAACAGATTTCTGAATTTCACCTGAGATTATAATACTTGGAGTGCAGAGATTAATTGTTATTTATTTTCGCTCGACAGTGACATTATTGGTAATTCCATCCACTGTATTTGAGTGAACGTTAATAAGTTGTACAGCTGTCTAGTTGTAAGTAGTAATTTAGTGCAAAAGAATTTACTGCAATTGTTATATGATTAATTTCGCAGTCTTTCACCTAAGTGCCAGATAATTCTAAGACTTGTGTTGATTTCGATCGATTCTCTATATACACTTAACCAACATATAGGTATCATGATCAACAATGGCTGCTCGAATGGAATGTCTGCTTAATTTGTCCCCGAAAACTGCTGACTACGCGTTCATCATTTTAGCCGCGTTCGTAATGACATTATTCCAGGATCGATGGTCGATGTGACGTGTCCCAAGTACGATTATTGATTAAAAATATACCCCGATCTAAGGGAACGAGTTACGAAATATTTAAAGAAAATCAATGAAAAAAAAGAAATTGTTCACATAGTTCGCACGTTGTATATGTTTGTATACTATATATTAATCTGATCTAGTGAATGTCGTAAAACAATGTATACCTGTGAAGAAACAAACAAATACTTGTAAGAGGAGGATAAAATAAATCGGAAACGAAGAATTATATTTCATCGACGCCAACAATATCATCGATATTATTTCTTTGGTCCTTTCTGAATCCAGTTACTTTTTCTTTTCCATTGAACACTCGACGAGAATATCCTTTGTTCTAGATATAATTAGTAAACAAAGTGCATTGAAAATCGTGACGCAACTGACAAGGAGCTGTTTTGTCGGGAACAAAATTAAGTCATTAATTTATAATAAAATAATGTGAAAAAATGCTCGATAGATTTTCAATACTATTTTTCAATTATTTTTACAGAAGTATAGTCCCATCCACCACTATTCGATCGTGCCACGATTTCCGATACATTCTGTACAAAATATCGATCTTCCACGATCACTTTCGCCATACGTTTACATTTTCTAGATTCGACTTCGACGTGGGACAATTCGAAGTGGTCCCAGAACACTAAAAGAGAAAAATTCTAAGCCAAGATTAAAGACTACGAGGTAAATCGCGCTTGAACTGTGTATTCCCTCGCTACAATATGGGTCGAACTTACAGTAAATGTGCCGTCTTTTATTTAAATGACTCCAAGAAAGAAAAGAAACCCGTTGAAAACAGTCGTCAACCATTGAAACAATCGCGCCGATTCGTGTCCATTGCTCTCTATAATTACGATACAAGTACCCATAGATGACGCTATAGAGAGGGATCGCACAGTGGCCCCGACCTTCAAATAAACCTGACACCAGTTCAATCAAACGAACACCATTAATACGTTCATATAAAAATAATCGTGTATTTATTAACAAATAACAACACGCACCGTCTACTCGCACAGCAATTATAAAATTTAAACTAGAATTCCATTTGCACGTATCTACCAGCTACGTGTATAGGTACACTCTATTTAAATTAAATGTCTTCCTTATGAACTACAGAGAGAGAGAGAGAGAGAGAGAGAGAACAAAAAAAAAACATATACAGTGTACATTACAATGTCGTGTAAAAAGAAAATACTAAATTCCCCCGTGACTACGCTAAACTAACGGAATTAGGTTAAACCTAATCGCGAACCCTGTGACACGCGTGAAAACGTACGTTCGTCTTCACTAATTTGCACCAAACTGTACTACTTGTCGAATTTGTTTCGTCCTATGATCACCCACCCCGTTCCTCACGTGGACTTCGACCTTAATTGGAACAGGCAGAGCGATATGAAGCCTACGATCCACGCTGCGAGAACCAGAAACCCTTGGTACACTTCCGGTTCGTTCACGGAACTTCCCTTCTCCAGAACGCCCCTCAACGAGATACCGGGCAACGTCAATGGTAAACTCAAGCTGAACCATCGGAGAAACTTTGGCATCCCCTCCACTGGCCAAATAAGTCCTTTAACATTTTAATATGTTTATTCGAACGAGAACATGTATGGTATTCCGTTTTCGGTGACCATCAATGGCAGTCGATGTGTTAGAGGAGACTGGGGTTCTGTCTCAAAGCATTCAGTTTATGTTAGTATACTAGAAATTTCACAGTAATACGGTACATATTAAACAGAAAACGAAAAAGAGTACGAAATATTTTTCTTATGAAAAACAGTACATTTTACTCATTGTAATCAGTCTGATATTTAGTAACGAAATTATACGAAATGTGACAATTAGCTCCCAGTTTCCTCTAATTATCATTTTGATGAGTTCAGTAATCTGGACCACCATCACACACTATTATTCATTCGTTCAAGATAAATATGGTTTGTAGGACAGTTCGCGAGTAGCATTAAGCGTCTCTGTTTATTTTGTTGTAACTGTAAATTTGAATTTTCTATTTAAAGATTTGATGAGATATACCTTTAATAAATTAATGATTCGATGAGAATAAGTAAAAAAAATTTGTTTCCTATTGAAAGGTCACGGATACCGATACATAGTTTTTAAACTGCATACAATATGTGCAATTATTCCGAACAGCGTAAATTCAAGATGAATAATTCCAACAGACTGGTACACTAAGGAGTAAAAAATTGTATTTAATAGACCGTGCGCGTATATCACTTACCACAGAGAAGCACCAATGGATAAAAACTTCCCACGGACGCATAATTGACAAGAGCAGTGGACGTGCACATCACCGATATTAAAAAGCCTGTAGAAATGGAAAGAAAGATAATATTTATGTTTTTATCACGAAGATTACTCCAATTTCTAACCTTATTTAATAATACTACTTCAACATATTTTATTCACCAATGTTTTATCTTATTCATTATGTCTGTTTTATGTGTTTTTAAAATATCTAATCGTGAAATTATGGAATGATGGAGAGCTCTACAGGATGTGAATAAATATGTGGAACACTTTCCCAGAGTGGATTTACATGCCCAACTAAAACGAAAATCAACAATGATTTTGTTAAAAAAATCATTTGTTTAAATAATGTATTAAACATTTGAATTGTTCTTTTGTCAATTTCACAGGGTGAAAAACTTAAAAATTCAAATTTTTAATATATTATTTGAACAAATGATATTTCTACAATGAACCTTTGTTATCGATGTCCTTTTAGTGGTAGCGAACGTGTCGAAAGAATGTACTTGCCGTAAGACATGCCACAAACACCGTCGAGTATCCCCAGCCAAATGACAGTGGCTAGTGACCCTTTGCACTCCACGTCAAATTGCAAGAAGCTGATACACAGCGCCGCGGCGACTTGAATGACAATCACTATCACTTGTGAGATGAGGTGTGTAATTAATATTTCCGCTGTTGTGACACCTAATTAGAAAAAACATAGACGCGTGCTCAGTACGGATATCGTATGTACCATTTGAAAGACACGCACGATTAATTTTCCGCTATTTATTTTTGATTTCGTACTCGAGGAAATGCTCGTTATAAGAAATATAAAAAAAAGGACACGACGAAGCGATAACTATCGGTTTCTTAATTCCTTTCCTGGAAAGAACGGGGTTATTTGGAATGTATTATATCAACTTACCTTGAACTAAACTTCTATCCCACACGCCCGAATGTCGATCAGTAATGATTATACTTGAGGAAATTGACGTTGCCAGGATAAACACTAATCTAGAATCAGAGAATTTTTATCGATAGTAATTACATATTGTAAAAGGATATCCCTGATGATTACTGTAGAATTATTTTTCATCAAAATCGTGGAATTCACAAACTTTCGAACCGTTTGAATTTCGAAATTTTTGAAGTTTTAGGTGTTCTGAAATTTCTGTGATTTTTGTAAAGTCTCCTGCTGTCTAGTTCTTCAGATATGGAAATTTTTGAACTTACGATAATATAAAAGGCGCCGTGATAAATGTGATGTACTTCTGATCCTTTTTTCCATATACAGGATCTTCGAACTGGAAAGTGAAATGAATCGTTAATATTTTTCCGTGCATTTTTTTTTGTTTAAAATATTAAGCATATAAACAAAAGACAACGTACATGTATCGGTACGTCCGCGAATTTCGGAGTGATTCCACACTCCTTCAAGACTTTCTTGTACTCCCTTTGAAACATCTCGAAAAGTTCTTTTTGCACGAACAAACCTATTTGTCTGTCTACAAACAGGAAGAACAGATTGTCACTTTATTTTACACAGGATGATATTTAACAAATTTTCAGTCTCCAAAGTTATTTTCTTCACTGACACATTACCTGGTGTATGAAGCGAAACATCTATCTGACCCGCTATTAAATCTGCGTCCGATATTGATAAAAAGTCGTCCAACTTCGCTTGCAGAGCGTACGAGAAATTTCTACTGAAGTGCATTACTCCGACACTGTGCTCCGTTGTTATTTCGTCCACAGCTTTACTGTAGTCATCGTAATACAACTGAAAGTGCATTTATTATCAATGTAATTGTTATAATTTTAACTGCTGAATTTAAAATAAAGAAGAGTCTAAAGTGCAATGAAACAAAATTATTAATAAATCATCAAATGTCCCATATGCTTTCGACCTAATCTTTTAGGTCTAGAATGGATATTTTCATAAACATCTGCAGTCTAGTTATAATTATTTAAACCTACAATATGTTTATAGAAAATTCTTCTAACAGTCTGTGACTTGAAGGACATTAATTTATACCACATTTTTACGAAATTTAAAAATTGTGATCGCCATTGTTGTTTTTCTTTACAGACCTTCTTCAACAGAGAATCGTTAAATCCACCAGTAAATCTGCAGCTGAGATCAACAAAGTTGCACGTGAATTCGTTTTGGTTGTACGTAACGTTTCCACGATTTCTCCCGTGATTACAGTTCCCGGCCTCCTCGTTCACGACGGAAATCGCGAGATCTTTGGGGTCTAGGCCGTACGAGTTGAAGAACAATGTGACTTGTAGTATCGGCAACAACACCGAGAAAAGGACACCGCTACATGAAAGAAAACCGATTATCGATGCAATCAGGCGTCATTTATACATACATCCTACGCGTGCACTAGATTTAACATGACAATTACCCTGGGTGACGTAGGAACTGAAGGGCGTTTTTCATCAGCAGAGCATGGCATTTTTTCTTCGTGCTGCTTCGACGTACCTCTGTATTCTGAAAGACCATTTTTCACGTTTCATTTCCAATTATCTGTTCAAGCGTCGAATAATACGAAGATAAAACAAAATTACTTTTTGTTGCAGATGCACCAATAATTCATTATTGAGGACATTTATGCAAATAACAGTCTTTGAAAATTTATTTATAGTAACTAGAATCCAATAGAATTGTTGTTAATCTGTTAACGGTTCTATTAGATTTCAAATAAAAGAAAATCCTCGTTACATAATATTAAACGCTAATTTTTAAGTTTCAAAATTTTAATAAAGTCTAATACTATTGTAAACGTAGTAAAGCCTCTAATGTAAAATTCAAAATTCGTCCCTGTATTAATATTTAAAAACTAGCATCTGAAACTGTGAATTTGCATAAACTTCCGCATGTCTATCGATTACCAGTTAAATTTAAGGATAATAAATGCGCGAGCGTGTCACGATAATCGATCACGGAAGGTGTTTCAAAAGTATTTTAAGACAGCTCCAAGAAGCATGTACCAACTTTTGTTGGATAATTCCTGTAAATCGCGTCCAGGGTGATGACGTTGCTGATCCCAGAAACGCCTGTCGGCGTTTGTCCGACAGCCTGGCCCTGATTCTGCGCCTGCATTTGACTCAAGCTCAGAAACGCTTCCTCCAGGGAATCAGTTTGACATTGCTCGAGCAGCTCGCTCGGCGATGATTCAGCCAACAGTTGTCCGCATCTCATTAATCCAATCTGAGAATTATAAATACCGATTTACATATGCCGTAACGCGATACTTGTTTTTTTTTTTCAGTTTCAAATACCTGCTGCTCGATGATCATACTCAATTGTATAACATTTTGTATTCATATTGACGTTCGACGATAACGTATGTAGAAAATTAGCATAACACATAAAAACGTTTTACGCATATTCTGCGTTTTCAAAGGGCACCAACGTGACGACATTGAATGAATTCAATACAGTGATTCTTTGATGAATGCGACACGAGCAACGACGTTATTCCCACCGCTGGGGGACTCCCCCCGTGGAATCAATCAAAACAGAATAAAGAGAAGCTAAGCAGAGGTTCGGCTTCGGGCAAAAAAGAAATCTACGAGGGCCTGAAAACCTTTCCGCCTTGTCACGAATACTCCGAAGTTGTCCCAAGTACTTCGCTACTCGTCAAGACATTACTGCATACAGAAATTAATTTTAATACTTTTATGAGTTGATTTATCGATGTACTGTAATTGTTTTTAATAAAAATAGATTCAAGGAAATACAGTGATACAATAATAGAAATTGTTTACTGCTATTTTCAGTAATTAACGATGATGCTTTAACATTGATGGTAACAAAAACATTGATAGTTGTATCTAATTAATAGTCTTCGTCGACAGTTTATTATCTCATACCACGATTTTAGAATCACTCAACTAGTAATTGTTTCTTAATCATTCAATTAGTGATTGTTTCACAATCGTTCATTATACGTCGCGTAACTTCGCTACATAGTAAATAAATGAATTAACGTTCATTATCGAAGACTGACCTCTGCAATTGTGATGTAATAATGTGTAAGTAGTGAACAGACGTTTCGCTATTGTATTGATTATACGGCGCTCACATTGCTTGCCGTTGTTTAATAATTAACACAACAGTATTCGTGCGTGTCATTTTATATTATGGTGTTAAAGATCGGAATTACGATCTTCAAATGTTACCTACTTTGCAATTCAAACTCGCGTGTGCACATACATATCAAGATGAATTCTACGTAGTGTTTTCCTTTTTCAGTTGCTTCAACACACTTTAATGTTTTATTAAACGTCGTAACATCTATATATATATATATATATATATATACTAAAAACTATGATACAGAGAAAATAGGTTTTAGATTTTCAATAAATAATTTTACGTGTAATAAATTCTCCAATACAATTTTTAATACCACCGTCCTTAAAATACTTTTAACCTTATGCAGGTTCAATATTCCTCGTTCCAGTGTTTCCTTACCTAGAACTGCTGCCGACAAAAATTTATTACATGTGCTACTTATCCTTGTTCCCTCTATACTTAGCCGAAAATTTCTCATCCCTGACACTTGCATATAAAATTACAAAAGAACAGTCGTTTACCTTGTTACACTGCTTTGCCTCCTCGATATAATGCGTGGTGATGATGACGGTGACTCCTTCGTCCCGCGTGATTTTCACCAAGTGGTCCCAAATACTGCAGAAACAGTCATATAACTTATTTTTATCGTTCTTTTACAGAATTCGCCGCGCGATCGAGAGGCAACTGAATGAAAGTGTACTTGCTTGTCCCTTAAAACAGGATCCAGACCGACCGTAGGCTCGTCCAGGATCAAAAGTTCTGGCTGATGGACCAACGCAGCCGCGAAGGACACTCTTCTTTGTTGGCCACCGCTCATGTTCCTCACTAGACGATCCCTTGGGGGTAGTTGAAGCAGATCCTTTAGGAACAAGTACCTATCCTCTGAAATAAGCACACGTCAGTACACATTTTGGGTCCTTGGAAAACTTCGAGAGAACTCTGATGAGCAGCAGTAAGCGATTCGTATTACATTTTTCGATAAAATATTGACTAACAGTCCCAAAAACTTCTCTGAATATATATTACACATTATCAAACTCTTACCATTTTCTTTTTAAATATCCTGGGGTATGTGATACCCCGGTGTTAAAATTTCAAGGTGTACCAACGCAGGGTTAATCAGATAATGAGATTAAACAATCGTTTGCCAAGTGTACCTACTCATTCAAGAAGAATTATTATTATAAAATAAACCTCGAATTTCCATGTTTAATCGATTAAAAATGATGAACTACTTTTAATCATTATTCGGAACTGTTTATCTGGATAATGAATTTGCCCATCTTTGGTTCCTGAAAGTTTAACTATGGTTCACATTAGTTTGTGTGGCAAACTTTTCAGAGAAAATTAGTCATAGTATGGAATAGAGTAGAATAAAGTATAGTAATACTTGGAAGTGTTCATAATAATTCGATCACTGTAGCTTAACAGAACATTGGTGATACAGTATTTTAAATGGAGTTTTCGCTGCCCACCGATTGTATAATCCTCCATGCCATTAATCCTGCCGAAGAAATAGAGCGCGCCGATCACAGAAAACTCGTCGACCAACGAAATTTCTTGGGGCATGTAACCGACCCGTGTAATGCCCGATTCCACGGTGCCTGGTTTACCGCCGAGAACCCAAAGTTCGCCGCTGTCCATCTTCCGAACGCCAACCAGGCTGGAGAGTAGCGTGGTTTTGCCACAGCCACTGGGCCCAAGTAAGCCATATCTATTGACAAAGTCGATTGTTACCGTAATTTTACATCGAATGTCAAGCAATTTTCGTATGTTTCTACAGGGTGTCCCAAAATATCTTCGACCTCGGGAAATGAAGGGTTCCTGGGATGATTTGAAACAACTTTTTTTATTAATAGAAAGAATCATATATTTTATTATGATATAGTAAAAACTAAATATGGTACATGCGATCCAATTTATCGAATCCTGAAATCAGCCAATAATTTCACGGATCTGATTGACTTTTTCAGTGGCTCTATTGAATACTTTAAGGCATCCTTACATAGAGCACTAAGAACTGTTTAATCTTGTTAATATTTCATTAAAAATTTCCTGTTGTGACTAATTCCATACTGTATAATATATTGATGTAACTGTTTCTAATGTTATTGCCATTAATTGTTATATATGTATACTGGGTTAATACCCGTTAAATTACTAAAATAAAAAAAAAATTAACAAAAATGTTATCCGATGCTTTGTTAACGAGATATTAACGAAAAACCCTGAGCAATCTGAAGTACTCACATGCACCCTTTTGGAACATTCAGATTGAAACCATTCAGAACCGGTGTTCCGCTCCCGTATCGTTTCTTGGCATCCCTAACGATGATTGCCTGTTCCACCACCATTTTATGAAACGTTGATCACGAACGACCTGCATCAGACACACGAATCGGGCGTAAATACAACCGTGCAAGTATCACAGAACAGAAAGTGTGCACATTCCAGTTTCGAATGGCTCCATTTTTTCGCCATTAAACTATCCATATCTCGAACTTTCCAGTTGCTACCGCGTCTTTTCGAAACATTGAATTTATAAGCTTTCTAATTATCAGCTTCAGTTTTGGGAATACTAAAATAAGTAGTCGATATCTTCAAAATTCTTTCTCTTGCTTTAAGGGATGGAACGAAAAGTTATCGATTGATTTATTGATCGAATAACATAAAAATTTCATTTTGTGAAAAGGTTCACCTTTTTTTTAATGCAATTGATATAACACTTAACAGTTAACACTTAAGCAGGGTCATTTTTTATCAATATCGAAATATCGTGTAAACATTTTATCAAAAGTTTTGTTCTGTCTTTTTGTGTAGGCCAAAGTCTGGGTCACAAGTGGCCCATGTTCGTCGTGTAAGGGTTAAGTAACAATGGGAACGTTTCGTTAAGCAAAATTTTCTGCGCTGAACAAACTTGGCCTTTATTACGTGTACATATTTGTCTTTCACCGCTGAAAAAGGGCTTCGCGAATCTAGGACTGACGCTTGCGTAACGTTGCATGGAGAGTCCTTAAGAAGGAATTTTGTCAAGGCCATCAAGCTAACTATAGACGCTGTAATTTCTTCTCTTGGTAAAACGGTTTATATTTCCCGTGATTTCTGCGAGACCCTTTCACTTTCATCCGTCGATTAGATCCGATTGAATTCGCAGTAAGACAAAGATTTTTCTTTCAATATATTCTGATTAAATCTTCCGTGACACCTTCGATGGTTATAGATTGTTATAATAGCCCAAGGAAATGTGCTCCGAAATAGTAAACTAAATTAAATCGGATAAATTAACACAAATAATATTCTGAAACTGATATTATTGAAATATTATATTATATTTTTCGATTCTGGAATTCATGAACAGTTCACTCGACAGATAAAAAGCTACAAGTTCGTACGTTCTTTTCGTTATTTATACTTTCAATTTTGCATACTGTGTCATTTTCTGAAATCTTTTCCTACGATTAATTCGTGTGTAAACGATAAGGAACACTCTGTCCTTACATATTTCTTGGTCGTATTGGACAACTTACGATTTCACGATCACGAACATCGTATTTATCATAAGTATTCTATATGGTGATTTATATGCATATGATATTAATGGTGTATCGAGTGTTCCGAATACAAAATTCGAGACTGTCATGGCTGATTAGAATCAACCGAAACTCGCCCCTATGTTCCTGACACACGGTGTTTCGCTCTGAATACGCTCGACGTCATGTGAATCATCGAATAACGCGCAGGTCCAAGTGCTCGATGACGCTGGAACAGTTAAAAACGTATACGAAACAGGTTTCACGTCGGGGGTCGTTACGAATTCCGATTGGATCGACGTTATGTTAAATATCGATCGCTACGGTGGTCTCTCGTCCTGTTTGTCATTCGGCACGTCCACCGTTTCGGATGAACATTATCGCGGTACTGTGACACGAATTTACAATAATGTTTTTACAGCAGCTTTTATCTCGAGCCACTTTATAACAGTACTCTTTCGATTGTATTTAAACGACGATATTCGTATATTATCTACATGCTGATACTTCGCATTGTTCGGGCACACACCACCGTATAGATCGTTTACAATGGCGATCGAAGAAGGTTTAAAATTTTATATTTTTATGTAGAAGACATTTAAAAAAAAATCGTTAATTTTCAGATACCCCGAAAAATTAACACTAAAAGTGGGCTATTTTTATTTGAGAGAGCATTACTTTTGAAAATTAGAAAATTGTACTATTTAATGGGAACAATATCAACGTTTAAAATAGGACTGTTTCAACCCTTCTTTTGAAATAGTAAGCAGTATACGTGAACATTATTTTATTAAACATTCTCAGGACCTAAAGACTATTATGTAAATTGTAAAAGAAGATTTGTCATTGCTAAATGGTTCTGAGTAATTAACAATTTTCTACCACAACGAATTCCCAACTACGGAAAAATTAACATTTCTTAGTTGTGTCATTCTTTTAGCGAACCGACAATATGTACGTAGTCATTATCCTCTTATTTGCTTCGGAATACAATTTCCATATAAACGATTTTTTTAAATTTATGATTAGAAAATTTAAGTTTCTTTGGTGACAATAATACTCAAAAGTAATAAATCCATTAAGTTTCAGCTTCAGACCAGAAGATTTAAAGTATTTTTTAAACCTTTTTTACGACCGCCACTGTAGAAGTTGTATCAATAAAAATACTTCTGAGTGATATTCAATTCAATAGGCAATATTACATTTTGTATTACACTGTGTACGTGTCAATTAATTATCGGTGTTTGATAAATTGCATCTCTTGAAACCAGTTTCTCCCAACGTACAAGATTCTTTCGACATACATACAGTGACAGAAAAAAGTATCCGTACACCAATCACTTTTACCGTCAAACGACAGTAAGCAAGTTAAGAATTAATGCAGAGACGATCGATATTTCATTAAGGAGTTAAGCCACTTTAGAGTCAAAAAATAGAAACTACATTTGACAATTTTTTTTCACGTAAATAATGATGTAAATGGGAAGTCTATTAAAATACATTTATCGTATGTATTTTTATACTTGAAAACGGTTTGATCCAGAACATATTGTTCTCCATGAAATTTACCAAAGAAATACATTAGGATTTTCAAATATGGTTTCTTGTGCAAGTGATGAATATTTGAAGAAAAATGTATAAAAATATCCACAGCAAAGAAAGTTTTTAACATATCGAAAAATTCCTACGTATTTTTTTTAGTAAACTCCATGTAAAACAAAAATGTTACGCTTGTTATTCCAGGTCAAACGGTGTTCAAATTAACCTGCACGCCGATTAGGTGCTCACTTAAAAAAAACCCAAAACATGGCTGAGCTCCGGCGTCGCTATTTTCTTCTATAAAAGAAATTCGTTAATTTTCCCTCTTATTTAACAGCTCGAAGGTATGTAACCTCTTTCAAAAAAGCCTATCCGGCTATGAAACGCCGGCCGACGACGCGTGTCGTAAAATAATTAAAAGATCGCTGAAATGAATGGTGAAAGCGCGATGTTGTGCGCCGCCGCGATGTATGGATGAAATAATGTCGAAAAAAGGAATCGAATTTAGATACGAGAAAGTGATTGTGGACAGACGACCGGTCCCGGCCCGTTATCACATTAAAGAACGGAATAAACGTCTCTCTTCCACATGGACTTGCTTCTTCGGAATCGTTTTGCATCATACCTAACCCGAGGAAGTAGCGAGGCGCGTTACGCGAGCCACGCACCGGCAAGATCGTTACCCCCTTTTTCTTTCCCGATCGCCGATCGACCGGAAGCTGACTTTTTTCTGTGCAAATATTCAGACACCTTCCGGTAAATCTGACCAATACTTTGTTGCATATTTATAATCAGCTGGTACTACATATAAAATTTCGATATTTTATTTAAGAAATTTTTTATAAAAACTAGAATTTTCCCTCTTATTTAAGGGGACTTTCTCATTCAAAATTGAAAAAAAAAGACACTTTCTTAATATTTCTTTATAAAAAAACTATTATATTTAGAAACATAATTTCTTTTGGACGCTATTATATATATTATTAAGAACATAAAG